TAAAGGGAAGCACAGAAATGGTACTCCTTGGAGACTGTTAAAAATGAACTATACAATGTGTGGATGAGATGTGAGGGAAACATTGGGAGTGAGAAGGAAAGGGGTGACATTATCTAAAAGGAACTGGACTCTTTGCGTGACTTATGCAACTGTAACCCCTCTGTTTTTGGCATTTTCAAATAAAAATTGGAAGAAAAAAAAAGAGAAAGAAACCTGAGAATCAGTGTTCCCCTACTGGCTATTTTTTTCCTTATCTTGTACTTAACATCCAGACTATACAGCTAGCTGGGAAGGCTCTGCCCTCATCCCAGCCTATGCTCCAACCACATCTGAGATGAGTTATTATCTCCACACAGACAATCCTGTCCTGCTTCAGCTATTTCCTCAGTAAAAGCCATTTAAGTATTGCATTGTAACTCTTCCATTGTTTCTGCATCTCTGTCAAGGTCAGAGCCACTTGCCCAAGCTGTCTAAACTCCTCTGGTTGAACACCCAGGCTTCAGGGAGAGCCATCGCTTGATCCTGTTTCAGTTTTTCACCTTTTGTGGACATACATGCCTGCTTCGTGGAGTAAAAACTCCTAGCCAGCAAAAAATCATGCTATCTATATCTTGATTCCCAAGTAGGATGAAGACGTGTCAGGGTGCCAAGGGCTTCCCTGGTTTAGCACTGAGAGTCCTGAGTTGATGTCACCTGAACAGCCAGCAGGGTCTGCCCTGTAGATGCTGTTTAATCATAACTTTTTATTGGCCTTTATATGTGAATCTTCTGATATTTCTTCAGGGTTTGGCCCTTAACTTCTGCTTCCAAATAATCTTAGGTCCTTAACCTAAGACTGCTCATTGTAGTAATCCACAGAGGTAATTACTTGTGGAAACTTCTACTGAAACCCCAATCACCAGATGCCCAAGTTTATTTTTTAAAGATCATGTTATAGTATCTACTCTTAACACATACTTCCTGTTTCGTGCTTTGAAACATGTCCGTATAATGAAACTCTATGTAAATGTTCTGCCGTATTACTTAGGGAGTCATGACAACAAAAAATTCTGTTCAAGATCAGTGCAGATGTATTATTTTCCAAATATTCTTAGTTATTTTTTTGGTGCTGGTCCTGGGGCTTGAACTCAGGGCCTGAGCTGCTTTTTGCTCAAGGCTAGCAGTCTAGCATTTCAATCACAGCTCCACTTCTGTCATTTTTGGAAATTTAGTGGAGATGAGAATCTCACAAACTTTCCTGCCTGGGCTAGCTTCGAACTACAATTCTCAGGTCTCAGCCTTCTGAGTAGCAAAGATGACAGATGTGAAGCACCATGCCCCACTTATTGTCCAAATATTCTTAACCATGAGTGGTTTAATCAGCAAATGTTGAAGCTACAGATAGGCAGGTCTACCATACCAAGTACGTCAGATTATATTCTTCAGTTATGTTCAAAAACTTTGTAGCCCCAGGAGGTGGGATAATTTGAAAGCATGAGAGAAGGCTAATTTCAAAAGAGATATTAGTTAAAATGCTTCTGGGAAGAATTGAGTAGGAAGGAAAGAGACAGAAATAATCCGGGACTATATTAAACAGTCTTCATTAGAATGCTGTTGGATTCATTCCTTTGTTTCCTACCACTGTGTGTAATTATAGTATACAAAACTTTCAGATCTTCCTGCCATTAGGTATTTAAAAATATCTGTTCCAGATTTTCAAAATAAGTTTCTCATGTACAGTAATTATATTATATAAAATGTGTCATGCTGAATATTATATTTATTACATCCATTTAAATTTAGACTGCCTCTCAGGGTTGACTTAGCCATTGCTCTAATATTGGGCATTTTCAAATAGGACAGGAATGAATTCTACTTGATATACATTTTTGCGTTCTAGATAGACACTATTCTTTGCTAAAAAAAATTCTTCTCAGAAGAATTTTTTCTCAGAAGAAAAATTCTGAGAAGAATTTTTTTAATGGTTTCAGAATTGTAGGACACCTTTTCCCCACCTGTATTCCCTTCATTGTAAACATAAATCTCCAAGTTTCCGCTTCAATTAATAAAGCGGAGAACTGTTTCCATGGGTCACAAGTCACCACAGGACAATATGTAGAACAAAACATAAATTTGGATGGATATGTTGACACATGCCTATAATCACAGTATCTAGGAGGCAAAGAGAGAGAAAAGGTTTTGAGTTTGAGGCAGGCCTGCACTATATAGCTTGACCTTACCTCAAAATCATGCAATCAATTAATCAACTAGATGTTGGAGTTATATCTCAGTCATAGAAAACTTGCTTAGCAAGCGAAAGGCTCTAGGTTCAATCCTCAGCACTATAATAAATAAAACAAACAAAAACAAATAATCCACAAATGCAACAAAAAAGCACTCATGGATAGATTTGGCAGTTCTAGGGCTTTAAAGCCATGGAGCTAACCAATCTTCGGTAGGGAGATAACTTTAACCATTTGGATAACTGTCAAAAGAAACTCCCGGGAGTAGTTGATGGTTTTTGTGATGTGCCAGTCCTAGGGCTTGATCTCAGGGCATGCACACTGTCCCTGAGCGTTCATAGTCAAGACTAGTGCTCTACTACTTGAGCCATAGCCCCACTTCCAGCTTTTTTGGAGGTTAGTTAGAGGCTTTAGTCACAGGCTTTCCTGCTTACACTGGTCTCAAACGACAATCCTCAGGTGTCAGCCTTCTGAGTAGCTAGGTCCACGGCTCAGGGGAGTATTTGAGAAAGTGAGTTCCACGTGGTGAGACACAATAAGCTGAGCACTCCTGAAAGGCCCACAGGCCCACTCCAAGGCCAACGAGACCAGAATCTCCTGAAGGAGCAGACCCACAGACATTTGTCATTTTCTTCTTATGAACTTCCAGGACAGTGACAAGCTCATAAGCATTCTCAGCTAATGGAACTGGAATGGAATGCTTTTCAACTGTCCTATTTTTATGACTTTAGAATTTCATTAATTCACGGAATCTCAGTTTCTCTAATTTAAGAATGGAGATAAGACCCTCTTTGTAGTATTCTTATGTAACCCTACAGGTAGGAAATTCAGGTTAGAGTAAGTATCTCCAGGGGTTTGATATATAACCTAATAACAGGAAGCTTGAAAGACAACAGGGAGTGTTAGACACTGTGGTTCACTGGAGAATGCAAACCCTGACTAAATGAACCTTAGAAGAAAATAGCTTCTGAAACATTGAGCTGTTAAGTTGGGAATGGTGGCACATATCTATACTCCTAGCTACTTGGAAAGTGGTGTAAAATGTTGCAAAGCTACCCCAGAAAAATTATCTTTATCTCAAAACAACACCAACACAAAAAGGGTTTGTGAATGGCTCAAGTAGTAGAGCAGTAAAACTCCAGGTCCTGGATTTAATTTAAGTGTGAAGTTCAGCAGAACTATATTTTCTAGTTCTATATAAGGTTGTTAAATACAGGACTCTGTATTAATTCAACAAAACCCAGTCCTCATTATCCTAATGTGTACAGAAAGAGAACCTGAAAGACGTTTATTGGGAATATATACCCAGTAATGAAAGCAAACTATGTCCACACTATCAAAACCACCTTTCCAGTTCCAGTTTCGTGTTCTACCTATGGCTTTGTGACTAGCTGCATTCTTTTTGAAAGTTTTATTATATGTATTTTTATTGTTATTGTAAAGGCGATGTATAGAAAGGATACAGTTACACAAGTCAAGTAATGACTTATGTTACCTCTTCTCTGGCTCTCAGTTTTTCCTCTGTCATCCCCATCTACAAGTTGTTTAGTCCGTTTCCAACAACAATCTTCATTCTGATGTATATTTTTTAATTAGTGTTAATGACTAGAATGATGTGGAATTTAAAATAATTTAAGAAACAGAATGTATACTACTGTAGTTTATGATAAAGTAAGACCTTGCTTAATTAATGCTGAGGTTCTGTTCTGGCCTGAGATTTTATGATTAGGAAACTAAAGCATTGAAATCATCACATAAAGGGAGCAGTTGATCATGTGACTTGCTATCATTCTTAGAGCGAGAATCTTTCCCAGTGATTTTTTTGCGGCAAATTTCCTTTATATGAAATCTGCCTCCCAGTCTACCAATAAAGAAGCTCACAACTTTCTGACCTTCTTAACACTGACTTGTCATTTGTTCATCATCTCCAATTTCAGCTCTATCTGAATGGAGCCAAGATCAGAGCCAAATAGTTTTATACATTTTCCATTAATATTTATTTTTAAATCATGACTCTCTCACTCCTTAGAGCTGTTATAAGACTTAAAACTTGGCTCCCTCATTCTTAGGCTGTTGGTAAGAATTGTGAAAGATGTGTCAGGAAGGTTAAAGGAAATTATTTTGGTGACACACTTAGCAGAGCCCCTGGCATTTAGGAACATTCCAAAGTCTTGTCTGTCATTTTGATGAACATTTCTACTTCCACACACATAGGACCCTTTTGTCCTTCAGCTCAGGAACCTTTACTGGCCTCATTAATTATCCATGCCAAACATTTTTGCAAGGGACGTTACAGCTTGCACAGCCTTGCTCACGGGCAGCTTTACAGCACCTATCATAATACTTTTATAAATTACTTAAATCTTTTTACTTCCCCCTACCCTGTCTCCCTTGAACGCTGGGCCTGGGCGCTGTCCCTGAGCTTTTGTGCTGAAGGCTAGCACTTTACCATTTGAACCACAGCTCCACTTCCAGCTTTTTGTGATTAATTGCAGATAAAAGTCTCATGGACTTTCCTGCCCAGGCTGGCTTTGAAAGGAGATTCTCAGATCTCAGCCTCCTGAGTAGTTTGGATTACAGGCACGAGCCACTGGCGCCCACCTGGTAGTCTGTGTACTAAGGAGAAAAATATGGCTGCAAGTTTATCACGAAATTTGAAGGTATTCAGACATCTAACCTGTAGAAAGGTCTTCAGCCATGTCAGGCCTTACACCAGAGGTAATTTGGGGGTCACTCGCCCAATTACTGCCCAGAGCTGCTTTTCCTGCCCCTACTTACGTCATGTAGGTGAAAAAGGAGCTGAGCGGCTCCAGGGAGTGGTTCCGGAAGTAGCTGACCTCCTGGCACAGCTTTTTCCGCATCTCCGTGTCGATTTTGGAAACAGTAAGAGGATTTGTTTGATTAGCCAAGAAGTTGCCATAAGCAGTGGTCTGGAGATGAATTTTCAAGTCTAAAATGACAAGAACCCCCTGAATCAGGTTAAATTTTGTACCTTAGTGCTAATTTTAAAGAAAATACATAGTACTTGTTAGACTTTTAGCATAGGTCTATACATTAGTTAGACTTAATATTTGATCTCTAAAGAAATGAGAAGTCTATGGAAATATGCATTTACACGTTTAAAAAGTTTCCAATTATCAAAAAAACCTGTTATTTCATAGCTAAAAATAAATAAGCACCTAGCCCACAGACGGCTTTCCCTGAGACAATTTTAGTCACTTGAAAAGAGCTGCTCAGGAAAGTGTTGGCTGAATGTTTTAAGGCTCGGCCCTAAATTGATGGGAAAGAGAAATTTTACTAGGAATAGCTACCATGGTAAATATACCTAATGACATAGACAACCTTTATGTCTGAATTTAATGTCCTTTCAATGAAGATCAAGAGAATGAAGTTCAGTAGGGTTAAATTGTGGAATTTAAGAATGCATAAGCCTAGGATTCAAAGCTAGATTTATTTTATTTCAAAGACACTTCTAAGTATCAGATTATCATTTGTTTGGTAAATCTTTAATTCTTCCATGTGGAATTATTCAGGTTCACTGATCAGAATTTACAAGTACTTGAATAATAATGCCTCTAGTATATCACCTATTACAGGATATTACACAATTTTAGTTATATCTGTAGTTCTTTGAATCCTCCCTAACATAAAAATATATCTAAAAATAAAATTGAAAATTTAGAATATCTAAAATGTCTTTGGTTCCATCTAGCACACCAGCGGGGCCAATACAGTATCCTGGGGCTAGTTAGACCTTCCATTTATATTTATTGAGCATTTGTTATATATAGTCTGCTGCAAGAAACTCAACACTATACTAGACATGAACTCTTCACCCTGAAGGAAATGCACAATCTGGTGGGGAGAAGGCAGCCACAAACATGCCAATCCAACCACGTGTTAACTTCAGTGGTTAGAAGCTTGACTGTATGGGACTAGAGAAAATTACACTCCATCCAGAAAGAGGGAAGTAAGAGGCATGTCCCTTGAAGAAGGTTAAGCCATAGAGGAGTCCTCAAGTACTCTCTGAGAGTGGGAGCCTGATGTTCCATGCTGGGTGTTCCATGCCTGTAATCCAGCTATTTAGGAGCCTGAGATCAGAAGATCTTGGTTGATTCCAGGCCAGCCAGGCAGAAAAATCCATGAGGTTCTATGTCCAATTAACCACTAAAATACTGGGCTGGAACCATGGCTCAAGTGGCAAAGGACGGGCATCTGGATGTGTGCAAGGCCCTATTTCCAACCCTAGAACTGCCAAAACACCAGCAATTAAAAAAGAAGAAGAAGAATTGAAACCAAAGAAATAGCATGTGTTGTCATTAAGAGGGCATAGTATCTTTCTATTGAAGACAACAGGGAGACTCTGTGGTCTAAGAACTGCTTTTATAGCTGGGTTGATGTAGCTCCAGATGTCTGCTGGAGCTGAAGTCACTGGTTCGTGAGACGCTGAGGGAGGTGCAGAGAACAAGCATTCTTCCTCAGCATCTGGAGTAGATCTTGCCTCAAAAATGGCTCTTGTTCGCACAGTTTCTTATTTAATTAACTTGGTTTAAAACATTTATGCTTTTATTCCCCATGCCTTGTTTTGGCTTTTCTTTTGGTAGTTGTTGCGTTTGGTTTTTTTTTTTTAATGTCATTTGACAGTTGGCATTTTTAGCAAGGACGGATATTTGCCAACAGAAGTGACACAAATGCTATTTTTTTCCCAAAACCATGCTATGTTGCTTCATGACATATGTTTCTTTTAAGTTAAATAACTTTGAACTTTCAGCTGCCAGTGATATCCTGAAATTAAACATATCAAGCATTCACACCCTGCAGAATCTTGGAACTGTGGAGTGGAGTTATTCAACAGTCAATGGAACAGAAACTCCCCCCCCCATCTTTTCCCTGCACCAAAAGGTCCAAGGAACACTGGCAGGCAGATTGCAGGAAAATTAGGGTCTGAATGTTTGCTTTGATATGAGGATAGACACAACAGTGCCTATAGTTTTGAAGTTTTCATAATGGGTTCACTTAATTTTTTTTCTCCTACATTTCCCTAAATGCTTATCCAAATAGCTATTTCAGGAATAAGACTTTGAGGTCAAATAAGTTTGGAAGAAACCGATTTCTGTAAGTGAAAACATTAATGTGGGTGATTTGTTTGAAAAGAGCATGGTCAGAATCTCTCTAGCCAGGGAGGTTCACATCCAGTACTTGGTAGAATTAAACTGATTTGTTTTATTTATTTATTTTTTATCTAGTAAAGTCATGTGGAAATGGTGTGTTTTCTTTTCTTAAATGAGGAAGCAAACTGGGTTCTGGTAGCTCAGACTTGTAATCCTAGCTACTCAGTATGCTGAGATCTGAGGATCATGGTACAAAGCCAGCCAGAGGAGGAAAATCCATGAGACTTTTGTCTTCAAATAATCACCAAAAAGAAAAGAAAAGACAAAGCCAGAAGTAGAGATGTGGTTCAAGTGGTAAGAGAGCTAACCTTCAACAAAAAAGCTCCGGGACAGCACCCAAGCCCAAGCCCCAGGACTGGCACCTCCCCAACGCTCCCCCCCCCAAAAAAAAAGAAGTAGAATGTCCTCCAAATTCTGAGAACCTGATAATAAAGCAATTAAGTTGATCCTAAACAGCAGCAGAATAAAAAGAATCCACAATAATATTCTAACATAATGGAGTGTGTGTGTGTGTGTGTGTGTGTCCAGATTGTGTAAAACAGCATTATCCAAGCGTTGAGCCACTAGGTGAAGGGGCTGACCTGAGATCTTGTGGCCAGCGGGTAAGTCAGGACAGGGAACTGGGACTTCATGATCATCTTCTGTTAATTCATTGGCAGATCACTTAGAAAATTATTCTTTCTTGGGGCTGGGAAGGTGGCTCAGCGGTAGAGAGCTTGCCTTGCATGCCTGAGGCCCTAGGTTCGATTCCCCAGCACCACATAAGCAAAAAGAAAAAAGCTGGAAGTGGCGCTGTGGCTCAAGTGGTAGAGCGCTAG